TTTATAGTGGAAAGGTACATGCAGAGTGTTGCAAAACAAACTATTTTATTATTAGCATTACATGTAAAAATTCAGAAGACACGTGTAGACACTTGGTGGTTTTACCCAGCCTCAATTACCATATTCTTCTAATAAACCAGGTTAAGGAGCAACGCAGTCTATGTAAGACCTGGTATAGTATACTCTTTAACATCTGAAAAAAATTGCTTAAAAACCTGAATTGAAAGCACTTTTTGTGACCATTCATAAAGTAGCAGATGAAAGAAAGTCAAAATTAAAAAATAAAATACAGAAATTCTGAAAACAAAAGGAAGCACAATGGTGAGATAAATGACACAACACTTTTTACTATAAAGAAACACGTAAAATAAAGTGCAAGAGGACTAAAATGTGATGTAAGGAGAAATGAGTGCCACAAAGATACATCACAATACCTGTAGTGCTGAATCAGGATATGTGGGGTGAGAAATGGAGTCAATTTAAATATAAAATATAATATAATAATAGTAAGTATAATAATCGCCCCATAACTTAGAGCAGTGGTTTTTAAACTGGTCCTAAGGGACCACCAGACAGCCCTGATTTTTGCTCCAACCCAACACATAAAGATTGCAAAAATGTGTACCGTCTCGGGTTTGAGAACCACTGAGGTCTTGTTTTCTAAGGACTTTCACCTGCTATCTTTATGTTTGTATAATGCAGCTTTACAGTTTTAATCTGACAGGTGGTCAAATTAAAACTGGATTATAGAAACATGATAATTGGTGGTCTGTCAAATCAAAATTTTTGGAAGGTATCTGAGCATATAAAAGCAGTGTAATATGCCGGATATCTTGTGGCAATGGTGAAAGCCACAGATGAGTGGCTGAAAATTAGCAGAAAAAAGAACTGTGACTCTATGACATTCACTATAGTGCCACCACCAAGTCGATCAGGCTGAGCTTGTGTGTGGGAGGGACAACTACCTATTGACCAAGTTTCATGTCTGTACAACTTGGAAGAAGAAAAATCCTAACAATTACAATAGGATTCCAACCCTTCGTGCTTGGACCCCTAAAAATCCTAATAATCAGAATAGGCTTTCTGCACTTCATTCTTGGACTCGTAAAAAAATTTAACAATTACAATAGGGTTACAATAGGACCCTTAAAAATCCCAAGAATTAACCGAATGTAAATCCTAAGTAAAATCCTAATAAAAATAATAGGGGTCCAAGCACGTGGTGTAATTACAATACATATTACACAAAGTAAGTATCTAAGCACGAAAACAACTGGCCAAAAAAGACAACGTTTAGAAAAAAATGTTTAATATCTCCTTGATGCACGTGTTTATTTACACATAATAAATCTGCAAAATAGGAAAGAGCACAGTATTTACAGAATGAGCATTTGACAGCCAACCACTCTCAGTTGATTCAAGTCTGAAACACTTAAAAAGGTACCAGAATTCATAAAGTATTAATTTATGTCTTCTTTGAAATCCACATGCTCACACATTCCAATGTGTGAGTGAAGTAATTTTTTTTAAATGACAGCATTTCAATCTGGATAGAAAAAAAAAAAACAGAAGCTGTAGTAAAGGCAAAGGGTGGGCACACTAAATATATCGCAGTTTTATAGTTAGAAGCTGGCAAGCACTCTGTGCAAAGCTGATCTGTATAGTTTGAATAGTTTCTGATTTACCATACCCTTTCATTTACTTATACAGCTATACTATCTCAAATAAACCACCATTCTACAACAAAGAGTAGGGTCCTTTAATTTGTTTTTTTGTTTTTTTCAAAACAAGAATATAAAGCAATTCTAAGCAAACAAATACTTCAATACTTTCAACACTGAAATCTTTCAGCTCTTTTGAAATCTTTCAGCTCCTCTAAGTGTTACCATAACTTGTAAAACAACCCCCCTATAAAAATTAAAAAATATGAAAAAGGTAGCAAAAACATCATCAAAGCAAATTAGTTTGTCCTGAGACATTACAATGCAACCAGCTGCTTCACAATCGATGTCATCAAAGCCTTGCTAATGGCATAAAGCTGAGCATGTCAAGATTCTTCCATCAGGAAAACCAGAGAGAAAAATAAATTGTTACCATACAGTACTGTGCATAAATTAGAGACCACCATTCATTTAATTTCCAAGCGAAAGTATTCCTTTTTTTTCAGGAGATATTTCTGGGGAGTTTGGAAATAATATAATCCATGTGCACAAGAAAGGGGGAAGTCAAAGGAAAAGAAGTTAAAAAAAAGGGTTTTAAAACACTTTTATACAGCAAAACTCGCAACAATCGTGCAAGACCTGGTAGACCACCAAAACTTAGACTATCGGTATCGGTAGCTGAACTTTCATCTTTGAGAGGAAAATCAAGCACTAGTCTTGATTCAGGTCTGAAAAAAATCCACAAGTGTTTCTGTACATCCTTCCACTGCGAGAAAGAAGACAACTCAACATTATGGATCTGAGAGGAGTTGTATCTGTCAAGAAGTCATTACTAAACAAAAGTTTGCAAATCAAACAAGAAGCTGCTTATGTTCTCAGAACAATGAACTGATTTTGAGATTACTTTTATCATGAGAAGCAGAAAATGCAACCAATTTCTAAAACTGAACTTTGGGGGTGTAGAAAAATATCCCTGAAGACAAAGTGAATCTCTGGAAGGCCAGAAATTAAATAAATTACGAGTGGTCTCTGATTTTTGTACAATAACATATGAGGAGCAAAATGACAAATTGTATCTGTATTTCATGATTTTTATTATTAATATATTATTATGAGAGTAAGAAGAGACACATTCTTTAAGATACCCTGTTGAAGATTAAATAAAATGCATGTCAAAAAAAAAGCAAAAAAAAAAACTTGGGCTGAGTATAGAATTATTACAAATGTTAGTTCTTCATTATTAACTATTATTATTAACTCTATGTGTACCTAAAAAATTGGATTTTTCTGGATAAATAAAGATTAAAAAAATAAGTCATGGTTTGATAAATGTGATGAAAAATGAAACAACATTTCACTGGCAAAAAGATTAAATCAGACACTTTATATATTTGTCATTTGTGCAATAAAATCATAAAAAATGTCTACAGTGAGTCTGGAAATGTATTCTCATAGCTAAAATCACATTTCTCACATTTCTGAAGAGAGTGTCATTTTTACAGACGACACACTGCATGGTTTTATCGGTTTGGAGACCTGCTCCTAAGTTGGACAGAATAGACTGTGACAGCAATTTTGACAATGTTAAGAATATCAGAATCCCCCAAAAATAAAATAAAATTGAACAATAAAGTGAGATACTTTATAATGTACAGTTGCCTTGGGTTAAAAACTTTCTTTTGCTATTTTGGGTTTATGACCTACATTTTTCAAGAGGGTTTCTGTGACTTTTTCAGTCTTTGCATCTGCTTTAATCTCAGAAGGAATGGTAAGGAGGAAGGTGCTTGCTGTTGTTTGAACATGCCTGTCTTTAAAAATACTGTGGAACACATGAAAGAGAATCAACCTTCAACAGACATTCACACAGGTATCAGCCTTTTTGGAGTAAAGGGAGAAAAAAAATAAGGAAAAAAACGATTTCATTAGTTTGAGATACCTAAAAGAGTTTTTATTTTCTAATTTCTTTACATTCCTTGCAAGACTGCTTGCAAAAAAAATAATAAAATACTGCATGTTTACCTACTTAAATATTCCACAGTCTTTCCTAAATGACACTGACCTTGAGAGGAAGATCAATTTGAAAAAAGAAAGAGTACAGGAAGAATACAAATGTAAAAAAGTATAGTTCAGGCCTACTACAATTACGTGCACCTCCTCTGCTGAATCAAAGCTCATTTTTGTTCACCTCAATGTAAAAAAAAGGATTAAATTAGCTTGTGAAAATTGCAAAATCACAGATTTTATAAGACCTAAATGAGATTACTGTCATGATAACTTATTGCATTGTAGCAATGCCTGTTAAATTCAAATCTCCTTCTAGTATTGGCACAATTTGCAAGCCTATTTGCTACAAAGAAGCCAAATTCACAGAGTGTTCTACTTTTGCTTTTGTCACCCAAAAATGATAGGCATAATTAAAGGGACTGCTTTAGCAGGTAACAAAAAGAAAATTTGAAATTGTGACTTCACATTTTTCTAAATGATTTGGGATCTTCTCAAAGTGTGAGTCAGCATCACACAACAAGGCATAAACACACACTACTATGGCTGGTATCCTGCTGCACCTTACAGTGAAACTGTTACATTTTCCTTCATGGGGTCTGTATTCTTTGTGCAATATACACGAGTGTACAGAGTAATGTTTAGGCCTTTTCTGTGGTGTGTAAAAATGTAAAATAATAAAAAAATCTTAAGATTGCTAATTATCTGTCAGGAAGCTCTTTCACAAGCATTTCTGCACCAGAGTCACTAAAGGTCAAAAAACACCCTTTATGGTGGCTTTTGCAATACCACAATAGCAATAAAGGTTAAAAAAAGAACTGATTTTTCTTCATTCTCCAATCTCAATACCTCAGTCACTGGGCAAGTCAACATTATATCATAGCACATTTTATCTCAAGAAAATGTTTTTGCACTAAACAACATTCAAATAAAACATGGCACAAGACAAGTTTTTAAATTTTTCTTTTCATAGTTCAGTTTTTGTTTCACATATTAAAATTCATATTTTGTTGAACTCTTTTCTATGTTAAAACTGAAAAAATTATCATATTTTACTCATTTTTCATTAAAAAAAAGTTGTATTTATATATCTATACATATTTATCATTTTTGTTATGCTGTGGTTCCTGGAAATTGTGCAAATTCAGCAGTAACACAAGTGGCAGGAAACTGGAGCAAATAGACAGTCAAACAACCTAAAGGAGCAAAAAACAAAGTTCATAAAATAAAATCAAACGCTAAAACTAAATGACATTCTGTAAACTCCTCTGGCATTACCCAATCTCAAAAGAGAGGTGATGGAGGTCCTTTACTTCATTGTCCAAACTTTTTTTTGCAGGATCTAAAATATTCACTTAAGAATGTGTACAAATGTCCTTCAACACACTTTAAAATAATAATAATAATAATAATAATAAACAAAAAAGTTAAAAACGTCCTTTAGGAGAGACATTTTGGTGTGTTTTGTGTATGGGGGACTGATATGAGAGGATGCCCACCCTCCTGGTGTTATGGTAATGGGGAGGGGTCTCCAGTGTACTGTTTCTGTCTTTCAGTCAATTAGCTTTGTGTCTGGATGTTAGGGTAGCTCAGACTGGCCTAAAGAGCAATGAAAAAGAGTGAGTCCTCAGCTGGACAGGGCCATAGTGTCAATGACCTGCTCCAGCTTGCTGCGCAGCCTCTGCCTCCGAGTCTGTTCATCCTTTTGCAGTGCAGAGAGGATCTGCAAAAACAGAATAAAGGGGAGTGGATTTTACAGCCGACTTCAAAAGTCTGTATGGGTGTGAGGTGCTCATACAAGGCTAGGATACAGAAAAATAGGTTGGCCAGCCATTCACATAACTGCTCATAACAAATGCCATTTACACACTTGTTCCTGTGTGTAAATGCTTCTGTTTGTGTAGTCAGACCAAGTAGCATTTGGTTCCATGCCTTTCAAGATGATCATAATAAGGAACCAAAAAAGAGAGCAAACTATGTAACCTAATAACAGCTGTGGAGCTGAAAAATGGAGTGTTTATTCCCCTGTTTAAAATGGGTTCACTGAGGGTATGCATGTGTCCATGTGCGCATCTGGATAATGAAGCATAATGAAGAATACAAGTAGCTGCCTAATTGCAGCAGTAAGATTATAGTAAAGAGTGCTACTGCATACACACAAACACACACACACACACACACACACACACACACACACACACACACACACAGCAGTGTCTCACTTGCACAGGCCAGTCAGAATGAGTCAGGGAAGCTAGACAGCAGTATACAAATGTAATAAATTCTTCACAGAGTGCGTTTACATACGCTTAGTTATCCGATCATAATTGGATTTTGGCATTTATCTGATTATTTATGTGGTCATGTAAACAGCATACTTCAACTTCTTAGACTGGATAAAGGCCATTATCAGATTTCTAGAAATTCAATAAAGAGACGTCAGGGCATTACTCAACAGAATTTGAACAGTGTTCAGCCGTAATATTCAGATCATTGTTAGGTCTGACTGCAGAAAAAAATATGGTTATTGCGTCTAGACATTCATTGACTTAAAAATGCAGAGGCAATGCAAAAATACTCCCTTTCAATCTCACCTCTAAATCTCACCTTACAGAACTAGTCAGTTCATCTCAGAACTCTGCCTAACTCTTCTTCCTCTCTCTCTTTCATTCTCTCTCCACCTCCCTCCCCACCTCCCCGCCCTCTCTCTCTGTCTCACTCTTTCTCTCTCTCTCCCCCGCCCCCTCTCTGCCTTGGTGTTTGTCTTTAACTGTGAGAGGCTGAAGTAATGTCTCATAATGTCTCATTCTGTGTGAAGTAATCAGCTTGATTACTAGTGAAACATATTACAGTAAAAAATCAAAGCTGTGTAAATTGCTGACGTTGCTGCTGATTTTAACGGCAGAAATGTTCTGAACAGATATCATATAGAAAATATGCAGTTTGAAGGCTGTGAATGTGTAGACTGTCTGTAGAGGTTCACACCTATTAACGCAAACTAGAGTCCAAGGAGCTGATGGGCAGCAGGACTCTCACTAAAATTACATTATTAATTAATCTACTTATAGTTTTGACCAATTTTTTTCTCTTAAATGAACTTAATTAAACAATAACAGTGATCAAGGATCCTAAAATACTTTATTGGAAACAGATAAACTAGGAAGTCTTATATAACCATGAAATGCATGAGGAAATGCATTATATTTACTAATACTTTTACTTGTACTTGAGTAAATTATCACTACAGTAACAGCACTTGTACTTAAGTAGGGATTTTCAGTACTTTTTACACCCCTGGTCCAGGCCCTGAGTTGTAGAGATAGCTCTGGGTCCCGACAGAGCAATGCGGTCACCAACTATATGCTTGGCGATTTAAAGAATTTGAATATTCTTCATCTTTTAGATCAGGGGTGTCAAACCCAACCACTGAAGGGACCATATTAAAAAATCTCAAAAATTCCATGGGCCAGAGAAAAAAAGTCTTTATTTCATTTTTGACTAATGTTGTGCTTTAACCCAAACTGGCCACTATCTATTCAAAATATGCAAAAAACATCAGCAGTAAAATACAGGCACTTGCAGTAGACCTTGAAATATTACATGAATCCTTGAAATATTCTAAATTTAAATGTCCCCAGGAGCTCAGTATTTTAAACCTACCTATCTGCTTGAACAAGACATCTGGCATCCTTTCTTTGCTGCTTGTTCATTAAGACTTGGGCTCAATTTCTGAGCTGCTGAGCTGAGGTTAAGTGTTTATATTGGTTGAACTGTAGCTGAAATGCAGCTAGTGTGTTTGGTGATATGACTGGTGTGGAACTGTATAGAACTGAGGTGTAAGTTCTATAGACTGTTGTTGGGGTAGAACTTTTGCGGGCCAGATAGAATTGTGTCGCGGGCCTGATCTGGCTTACGGGCATTTATGGGCTCTCATGCAGACCTGGAGTTTTTCCATTATCTGTTTACCCAAGTCCATGTAAACATGTTGAACAAATTACTGACAAAATCTGATATTCTGCAGCTATCAGATAATTAAGTGCATGTAAACGCACTCACTATTTGGCATACTTATACAGAACACTTAGCGCATAATTAATCAATCAATGCTTATATCTCCACAGCTCACCTCATCTTTGTATTTGATGATATAGGAGTATATCTCGTGGAGGGCACTCATACTGTTGAACTGGTTCAGGTGAAGTCTGGACTGCTCTGCCAAATACGCACTCATGTCCTGATCACTAATAGCAGGCATACGGGATATATCGGAGTAATACCTACATACATACATACATAAATAGATAGATAGATACATACATACATACATACATACATAAATATTTTATTAATTAATTATGTTATCATATAATCAAGAGTCTCCAAGATTTTTCCCCCTACATTGAAGCCCCAAACACAATTGTTTTTATTTATTTATATATATATATATATATATATATATATATATATATATATATATATATATATATAGTACGTGTGCATGCCTTAGCAAAGGAGGAATTTCTATCTCCAAAAACAGAAACACCTACTTACAACCAAGTACTTTACCCTTACTGGCTTACATACCTTTCTACCCAGTTCTTATAGTTGGGGATGTCTTTAGCATAGAGCAGCTTGTTAGATGGTGAATCTTTTCCCAGCTTATGTTCTGAAGTAGAACACGAGTCCATGAAAGTCTGAGCCACCACAGACAAGCAGGCATCCGTAATGCTGTTCTTATGGATATCAAACACAAACTGAGGATTCTTGATCACATTCACCCAAAATCTCAAAGGCAAACTGAAAGGAGGGAGAAGAAGAGCAGGTTAAAGGTTTGTGTAGTTTCATGTTGAGCAGTAATGTCAGTTACCTGGTGAATTTGAAAAGACATGGTGAGAAACTTAAAATATGAAACATGCAAGGGAAACGTTCTGTACAGCAGTAATCTTAATTATCATAATTATACTATCTACAGAATCAGAGGTGAATAAGTCCCCTTTTGAGGCTTGGCACCTCTCAAGTTGTCTTCTAATGTCATCTTAGGAATATTTTTATTGTTTCACTGTTGCCCTTAGCCTGCTTTTTAAGGGTCTGGACTGGAATTTCTGTGAAGTGGCATGGTGACAGTGTCTATTACTGAAAGTGCTCACCAGTTACTCTTCCAGGTGTGCCGCACATCCGCATCTGTGATCTGGTGTTTGTCTGCCTGCTCATCCAGGAAATCAAACATATATTTGATGGCAAGGGGAAGGGCACTGCCACGGTGTGCTGTGCTGAATATCGTCTCAAACAGGTCATCTACAAACTTCTGCAATGTGCCCTAAGAAAATATGCTGTGTCAGATGGTCAAATGCACTGAACCAAGCATTTCCTGTTTCACACCTCTTGTGTTATCTGTCAGTACTAATTTACTTTCATAACATTTTAAGAAAACAGTGAAGAGAGAGTGAGCATGACAGACAAATGGAGAAAGAGAGGCAGAAAGAGAAACAGAAAGAAACAGGGATAGAGAAAAAAGAGAAAAAGAAAAAGAGAAAGACAGAATGAAACAAAATGGCAGAAAACTGAAGACTTGAAAGAAGTACCTATTAAGGATGGACAACACAGATGTCTGCCATTTTACCTTAGTAGCTAATAGTCGTGTCAGGTAGATCTCTGAAACCATCTTGCTTCCACGATCACCCTCTCTCTGGTCTGAGTGGTCATGATTCTTGACTAGGTGCCAGAGTTTTGTGCCACTTTCTAGGTCAGGCGTGATCATGGGTGTCCTGGAGCGAAGACTGTCAGGACTACTGGCTGTCCTCAGCATACTCTCTGATAACACAGAAAGGCACATTCCTCAGTTACAGGTATAAACAAATCAAAGTGATTTCTTTCTTGAACTTAATTTTTATAAAATCTAATATTACATTAGCCATTAGCCAGTAAGGGGTATGTTATAAAGAGATGTAAACAAGCATGAAAAGAAATATATCTCTCTCTCACACACACACACACACACACATATACACACATACACACAACCCCATTTCCAAAAAAGTTGGGACGCTGTACAGAATGTAAATAAAAATGGAATGCAATGAGATGCAAATCATGTGAACCAAACATAAAATACTACAGACAACATATCAAATGTTGAAACTGAGACATATTATTGTTTTTTTTTTTGAAAAATATATGCCCATTTTGAATTTAATGCCGACAACACATTCCAAAAAAGTCGGGATAGGGGCATGTTTACCACTATGTTTCATCACCTCTTCTTTTAACAAAACTCTGTAAGCATTTGGGAACTGAGGAGACCAATTGCTGTAGTTTTGAAAGTGAAAGGTTTTCCCATTGTTGTTTGATATAGGATTTCAGCTTCTCAACAGTTCTGGATCTCTTTTGTCGTATTTTTCGCTTCATAATGCGGCAGTGGGTGACAGGTCTGGACTGCAGGCAGGTCAGTTTAGCACCCAGACTCTTTTAATATGGAGCAATGCTGTTTTAATACATGCAGAATGTGGTTTGGCATCGTCTTGCTGAAATAAGCAAGTCCTTCCCTGAAAAAGATGTTGTCTTGATGGCAGCATATGTTGCCAAAACCTGTATATATCGTTTAGCATTAATGGTGCCTTCACAGATGTGCACGTCACGCATGCCATGTGCACTAATGCTCCCCTATACCATCATGAACACTGGCTTTTGAACTGCGCACTGATAACAAGCTGAGTGGTCTTTAGCCCGGAGGACAAAGCATCCATGATTTCCAAAAATAATTTCAAATGTTAATTCGTTGGACCACAGGACACTTTTCCACTTCACCTCAGTCCATTTTAAATGAGCTCAGGCCCAGAGAAGGTGACAGAATTTCTGGATCCTGTTTATGTACAGTTTCTTCTTTGCGTTTTAGAGTTATAACTTGCATTTGTGGATGCAGCGGTGAACTGTTCTCACAGACAGTGGTTTTCCACTGGTTTTCCACTACAGAATCATGTCTGTTTTTAATGCAGTGCCGCCTGAGGGCCCAAAGATCATTGCTAGCAAATACTGGTTTTTGGCCTTGTCCCTTGCATACGGAGATTTCTCCAGATTCTCTGAATCTTTTAATGTTATTATGTACCATAGATGACAAAAAGCAAAAGAAAAGAAACATTATTCTTGAACTGTTGCACTATTCGTGCAGTCTTTCACAGAGTGGTGAACCCCTCCTCATCTTTTCTTCTGAAAGACAGCCTCTCTGGGATAGTTTTTTATATATTATGTTACTGACTTGTTGCCAATCAACCACCAGATGTTTTTATAGAGGTTCGTTCCGGCCACGCAAGCTGATTGGTTGAGAAACGTTCTAATCGTGCTGTTATTTCGCCATAACATCACGTTTATTTCAAAAACACTGTATCACTCCGCTGAGACACCGTTGCTAAGCAACGACTTTTTACTTTTTACTTTTACTTTTTACTTACTGTGTGCACAAACAGAAAATGGATACTTTTAAGATTACATTTGACCTACAGCTGATTTGGTCAGACTCTGAAGATGAGACTACACGTTTGGCAAATGGTATTCGGTTCATTTCTGGCTAATTCCAGGGTGTTCTTTTGTCACAGCTGCCGACTGAAAAGCTTGCTAAGTGGTAATGACAGTTTCGGAATTTAGTGTAAGGAGATGAGAACTAACAACAAGCTGCTTGTTAAGGAACTATAATTTGGTGGAAGGAATGGCTAACATTAAAACATTAAATGCCACATTCACGGCCCAATTTATTTATTTCTTACTTTATTTATTTAACTGTTGTATAAAAGCAATAGAACACTCAAGGTCGTGTGTTATCGCGAATAACATCATGGCTGTGATGATATACGGCTGTGATGTTATTTCGCATGAACACACTCTCTCTCATGTTCTTTTGCTTAAACACAACTTTACCAGCCTTTTGTTTCCACCGTCCCAACTTTTTTGGAACAGGTTGTATATATATATATATATATAAATATATATATATATATATATATATATATATATATATATATATATATATATACACACACACAAATTCCCTTACTGTACGTGTAAGACCTGTAATTTAATCTGCCATTTGGAAATATTTGATGATTTTTCTATTTTCAATTTGAGTTTGAATTTGTCACTAGATTCACTTCTGCTCACATTTCCTTCCAGGTATTCTGTGTTATATCCATATTTATTTCAGATTTCCATCTCTCCTTTATCGTTAAGGAGCAATCTAGGTTTATAGACAAAAAATATTTTGTTTACAAATCATTCCCCTCTCTCCATTCCCTATTTGTAATTCAATGAGAATTTTCTACTGCAGTAGGTTTCATTAGTTTTTTCTGTTTTTTATGTGTCAGAAAATGTCTTAATTGCAAATATCTGAAAAAAGTCTACACTGGGGAGACTACATTCATTTTTAACTATTCAAATGTCTTAAGACTGCCCTTGTTTAGTTACTGGCAAAATTTAGTGAAACCACATTCTGACCATTTTTAAACCTCTATCTGAGGGGGCTCCCGAGTGGTGCAACCGTCTAAGCGTTGGCCCTGCCCTCAGGAGATCGCGAGTTCGATCCCTGGTGATGCTACAGCCATCCGTAGCCGGGAGTCCGAGAGATCACAGTTAGCTGACGTAACAGATCTGGCGGTTGGCGCTTTCCTCCCAGCGCGTTCGGCTGTCCAATGATGTTGCGTTCGAAAAGAAGCGGTGGTTGGCTTCACAGGTCTCGGAGGAAGCCTGTGTTAGCCTTCACCCTGTGTGATTGGGGGAGTCCTAACTAGCGGGTGGAATTGGAGACGACCAAATTGGGGAGAAAATTGGGTAAAACTCTATCTAAGTTGGTAGGCATAAAGGTCTTCATATATCCAATGCTTGTTAGCAGTGAGACAAACATTCATATGTATGCTTTCAGTACAGCCTAGCAGAGACAGAGGGAGTGTGGACCATCAGTACAAATCTTTACTAATACACTAAATTATTTTCTTATAATTGGCATCATAAAGGTTTTGTGCAGATTTGGGAATGTATATACCTTCTTTCGACCATTTAAACCCACTCTGCAGTTTTATACTTTGTAGTATTCTGCCGTTAATATCCATAGCTTCTGTTTTTCCCATACTGACTTTGTATTCTGAATAATATCCACATTGGAATAAGTGTTTTGCTGGACCAATAGTCGGACCTCACACTGAAGAGGAACAATGCAGATTTCATCTTGGCAATGGAACATTGGTCCAGCTTTTCACCCTCACACAGATTGTTGAGGGGGCATGGGAGTTTGCCAACCCAGTGTACATGTGTTTTGCGGACTTGGATAAGGCTTCCGATCGTGTTCCCCAAGATATCCTGTGGGAGGTCCTTCAGGAGTATGGGGTACCAGGGCCACTACTCCAGGCCATTCAGTCTCTGTACTCATGGAGTACATGGTGTCAAGGCGTAGTCAAGGTCAGAAGTTATGGCATTATGTGTGTAGGCCAGAAGTTGGTGTCTCTGCTGTTTGCAGAAGATGTTGTCCTTTTGAGTGTGAAGCAGTTGGTATGTGGATCAGCACCTCCAAGTCTGAGTCAATGGTCCTAGCCCAGAGAAAAGGATGGCATGCCCACTCCAGCTGAGAGGAAAGGACTTGCCCCAGATGGAAGACAATAAGTATGTTGGGGTCTTGTTCATGACTGATGGGAAAAGGGGTGGTGAGATCAGCTAGGACAGGCAGCAGCAGTAATGCGGTCGCTGTACTGGACTGTGGTGAAGAGGGAGCTTGAAAAAAATGAAATCACGGATACAAGCGCCGGAAATGAGCTCTCTTCCTAGGGTGGCGGGCTACACTCTACACCCTATAGGGTGATAGGGTGTAAAGCTCGGTCTCCCAGGCGGAGCTCAAAGTAGAGCCACTACTCCTCCACATTGAGAGTTGAGTTCTTTAGGTGTGGTATCGTTGTGGTTGGTTCTGTCAAATATAGCAGCATGTCATCTGCAGAAAGGGATAAATTATGCTCTTCTTTATTTATTTCAAATTCTTTTATGTTATCATCTCTAATGGGCTGTGCTAGCAGTTCAATACTAATGGCAAACAAGAAAGAGAACAGCAATGTTTATATCCGCATTCTAATGTAAATCTCTCTGATCTGTACTTATTAACTTTAACAGCAGCCTGTGGATCTGAACAAAGTGTTCGTAGCCAGTTTATGAAATTAGTGCCAAGTTTAAACTGTTTTAGTGTTTGAAATACATGATCAAAGGCCTTCTGGGTATCTAATGATTGAATTATTGCTTATTTTTCCTTTTTTAATGATGCAATATGCTGGGAATTGTTTATTTCTTAGTTTTCTGTACTTTTATATTTAAGTGTTATTCATTGGTAAACATGTTAATGCTGAAGAGTCCTGTTCTTGTGGTTTGAACAATTACAGCAAATTGTCCTGTATGAAACACCCTAAGGAGGATCTGGGCTTCAGACAGAACACTCAGTTTACAACTCCAAGGTATTTACAATAGGATCTGAATCCCTCAGAAAGCCAACTCTGTCATTTCACGATAGGATCTAAGACTCCGAGAACACTGACTTTAGGTTTATGATGGTACCAAGAGTCCTGAGGGGAGTCAATGACACGGGTATAAGAGCTGTGTGTCTCAACTTCTGTTCAGACTGGGGTGAGACTGGCACAGCAGATGTACAGAGCACTCTGAATAAAATCATATTTTCTGCAAACCCCGGTCTCCTGAATCTCTGTCTGTGGCAAGATCAAAGATTTCCCACAGACACTATATTAAGTAATCTTCTGATTTTCCCTCCATAATGTCTTCCAGTAATAAATCCGGTC